TAATTTACTATGCTTTGTTTTAGTCTAGTAGCCTAGCCTATGAGCTATCTTGCTAACCGGTAACGTTAAACATTGAATGAGCCTGATGAATATTATATTGTTTTAATTGTTTTGATCATAACATGATATTATTCTTAACTCAGTGTCAAACAAAGAGCCAGAGACAGGGAGAGTGAGCGTCCGCGCTACCTGCCATAGGTCACTGAGGAAGAATGAGAAACCTCACGACCTCAGAGTAGGATCTAAGATAGTTCAGTTGTTCCAGCCAGTTCTGCTCCAAACATGTCCTGGGGATTTTGTGTTGCTAGGATAGGTTCTGTATCAGTAACATAGGCAGAAAATAGCACTCGGATATCTAACCTAGCCCCCATGAAAACTCCAGGAACTGCTTGTGACGGCTGTTGTTTATTATAAGTTAAGTTTAAGTTAAGTTTGTATGGTAAGTTAAGTTGTAAGTTTGTTGGAGTTTCAGTTATCTGTATGTTCAGTATTCATGTAACGTTTTTGACTTGTAATAGCCTACTAACATCTCACATATGTAATACTAACATATTTTAATGTTTATAAAAACAGAACTAAAAACGACCTTTTTTGGTCATTTGTTAACTAATATGATATGGTTAAGCCTACCATGACTAACAATCTGAAATGTTGATTTTGTTCCATTTCCTGTGCCTGTACTATATTTAAGATGGCAATGGTTATTGGTAATGTTTTTTTTTTTTGTTTTTTTTTAAGATTACACTTGAGCACTCATTCCCGGTGCAACTGTATGAGGCTGTGTGTTCATGTGTGGCTGGTAAGGCACTGTGCAATCACAATGTTGCACTGCTCTATCAGACAGCACACTTCTCGCAGCTTCAGATCAGTGCTGTACCCCCTGTCCTTAGTTGCACTGAAACAGAGCAACGCTGGCACAAGCCAAGGTCTATGGTAAGTCTGAGAGCATTATTTACCACACTGTTTCATAGTGTAGTCAGTCAGCTGAATTGGTATGTGTGCAAAGCTTGCTTTCATTAAAGACCATTACTATCAACAGGGTGTGAAGCCAGGCCGGGTCAGAGACATGGTCGTGTTGGCAGCCAAACCCAAGCAAAAGACGGTTGGAAATGGTGTAAGGTAATAATGTTTTATGTTATTTCTATAATTTAGATAAAACATGATTTAAATATGAAAATAAACACATCTGAAACACAGCATGTTACCATGTACACAGGAGCACACTTTACAAAGCACTGAGGGGAGAACTGCCAGATGTGGACATGCTCAAAGTGGCTGAGGTGTATAGTGATTTCCCTGCGACCTTGGCACCACTCATCACCACCATGGCCATTAGTTCTGATGTTCCGTTAGTCCAGTCAGCACTAGGGGAAGTGCAGGAGGGAAGTGCCATCGCCTCTCAGCACCCAGTAGCACCCACCAGGACCATCCAGTTGCACTCAGATGCACCTCCACCTCCACTTCTGCCGTTGGCTGATTACAGGTTGGAGCCTACAACCTGTCAATTTGTTTGCAGTGAACAACAACAACTTCATCTGGTCTCCCTCCAGACAAGTATTGAAATGGCCAGACAGGTGGAGGCTTCCACACGGGACCAGAGCTTGTCTGCAGAGTGGCATCAGGTTCGTCGACCACGAATAACGTCCTCACACTTTAGAGAGTTGTGCCATGTTCGAGGTGAGAGTACAGCACAGCAGCTCGCTCAGAGGATTTGGAAGGGCACTGTTCAAACTGCTGCCATGAAGAGGGGCCTGGTACTTGAACCTGTTGCCATTGAGGAGTACTGCAGGATCAAGAACACAAACTATTGGCCTTGTGGGTTTATCATCCACCCTGATGCCCCCTGGTTAGGGTCTTCTCCTGACGGGGTTGTATTTGACCCAACCGAAAACCCTCCCTATGGTTTGGTTGAGATTAAATGTCCAAATTGCAAGAGCTATGTTGATTGCAAGTACTTGAAGTTGCATGGCAACACAATGCAATTAAAACGGCAGCACAGCTACTACTGGCAGGTCCAAGGCCAGCTTCTAATAAGTGGAATGGAGTGGTGTGACTTTGTGGTGTTTGCAGAGGATGACATGGTCATCCAAAGAATCTACAAAGATGCAGAGGTTGCACAAATCATTAGGGAGAAGGGGGATCACTTCTTTTTTTATTTTTACATGGCTGTGTGTTTGAAATAGATACTGTTACTATTTACTGTTACTCTTAGAATAATTTACAGTAAATCAGTTCTATTTTTGTATGTATTTATTAAATTGTGAATGTTTGTAAACAAACAACATATCAGTTTAACCCTCATTTATGTTGTCACTTGTGATCTTTGGGGTCTTCAGATACCCCAGACAATAACATTTAATTTTGTAACAGGATTATAAAAATGTTTTTACAAATGCAATTTTACTCTGTTTGTTAATGTTTTTCCTCAACATTTGTGTAGTTTTGGGAGGATTTATAATATCTTGTAAATTTCTATGAATAGATTAAAAAATATTTATTTAAATAGGCTTTTAACAAAAAAACAACAACAGTATTTTATGCAAATTTCACTTTATAAAAGACCCAGATATCTAACTTTCATTCATGGGGATAACATGGATAATTTTAAATGGTTTAATGTAACATTTATGCCCATTTTTGAAAAATCAATTTAACCACTAGATGGCTATTGTCACATTCACTGTCTGTCTTCATCTGTACTACACTTCCCAGTATCCTCCGTCATCATCATCACCTGTTCATCATCGTTGTCATCCCCGCCTTCACCTGTGTTTCACTCATCATCGTCACCTGTTGTCTTTGTCATTATCTCTGTGTATTTAAGCTCCCCCTGTTTCTCTGTTCACTGGCCGGTTATTGTTTGTGTTCATACACACTTGTTTCGATTGTTGGATTGTTTGAATATTAAACTTTAAGTTTGCTGCCTGAAACATTACAGCTACATGGCTCCATTATACTATTTGACTACCTGAAAGATATATTTTCACAAGTTGGATTCATATCTAAATGTTATAAAATGTTTAAAAAAAATGTCAAAATTTAGCATTTTTTGTACAGAAAAAAACTACAAAAAAAACGTTTCTCAATAATTTTACATTATGCTTAGAATCAAATCTGAACAAAGTGTTACAAAGAGAAATGTTGGACTCTTAAGATGTTATTTATTTCAATCATCTATTACTAACTGTAACAGAACAAAAATGAACAGAAATGAACAATTATATTACATGTTGGGTAAAAATACATGACCATCAAAATGGAATGAACTGAACAGCAATAACAAATGAGCAAGTATGTGTGTGAGAGAGTGTGTGAGTGCATTTACAAAGATATATATAGATTTGTAAAAATGAACAATAACATCTCTACATTTGTGTATGTTTGTAAACATACAACATACAGTATCAGTTCAAGTTTTGTATAGATTCGTAAAAATTAACAATAAAACTTGAACAAAGAAATTGGAACTGATTGTAAACTGATTCATAAAAATTCTAGTCCATTCATTTCTGTGTTGCCCATGCCTTAACCAGTGGTCCATTCTGGTAATTCACCAAGAGACAAGCGACGGTGAACAACTGGTCAATGCTCCCACACACTGACAGAGGAATGACTTTATCAAACAGTTTGTTCTCTTTTACTCGCCTGATGCACCTCTCAACATGCACTCTCACACGGGCAATAGACTGTGTCTGCTGGACATCCTCTTTGGTCATCTGTTTGTTTCTTGCAAGGAAAGCAGGTCGGTAAACCTTTCCAGAGAAGAGATTGTCCACAAGAAAGCCTTTGTCAACCATAATGGCCATCTCTGGTGTGAGGAGTTTGGCTATTCCTGACTGCTTAAAAATTTCCCGGTCACTCATGGAACCTGCATACAGAGGTGACACAAAGGTGATGGGACCATGAGGTGCAATGCCAATCATGGCCTTGAAAGTGGTGTGTGACTTGTATGGGGAGTAGACTTCGCTGTGCAAAAGAAGAGAAGAGGGAGTTTGGCAAAAGATTTCTGTGCAGTCAAGCACCACTTGTGTGTCTGGGAACAAAGCAAACTCAGGTGGTAGATGAGCCTTTAATTCCTCTGGTGGTATCCACAGGCGGATGGAACCCAGTAGATAATAGAGGAAATGTGTCCACGATGTAATTATTCTGCTTGCTGTGGTGGTATGGATGTTGAAGCGTTTGGCTAGGTCCCTCAAATGCAGGCCCACAGAAAGGTGCATCAAGAAAAGCAGTAACTCATCTATCGGTGCTAGTCTCTGTTAAAAAACAAAAACACACAACACACTAGAAATCACTTGTACTGTAGTATTAATGTGTGTTGCCCTAACAAATCATCTGAAAACACCCTTGATTAATAATGGAGCCTTTGACAGTCAAGATATGTCAAGTAAACTGTAACAAATGTTAAGACTAACAACATAACTTACTGATGGTCTCAGAAGGCTAGGTTCTTTGGAGGCAGCATGGACACTGGTGATCCGTACCATTTTAGTTGTTGCAGCAGGCTCCACCAATTGCCAAAAGGCCTGGAAATGCTTGTATGATGCAAATCTGCAATGAAATTATAATCACTTTAGAACTTTATGTTCATAATAATACAAAATGATGACTGACATATTATTGATGGAACAACATACTTTTTTAAATTTTACTTCAGTTTCTCAAAAAGGAAATTTTACTTTTACTCGAGTACATTTTTTAGGGAGTAATTGTACTTTAACTTTAGTATAGATTTTCAGTACTATAACCCCCACTGCAACCCAGACACACATAGAGTTAGCTACTACATACAATTGCATAATAGCATGGACCAACCTTGTGTAAAAACGAATATCCTCATCAGATCCTTGGAGGTGTTGGAGTCCAAACCGAGACAGCAGTTGCAGTGATTGGACTTGTTGTTGGAGCTCCTCTACCTTTCTCCTCAGGGCTTCGTTTTCATCTGCCAGATGATGTGTGACAAGTGCAGTAGTGGGGGTGACACAGTAGGCGTGATCACGATGTACAACTTCCATCTCTGTGACCACCTCGTTGTCAGACGCCATCGGTAGGTCAGGGGAAGGAGGCCTTGGCCGACGTTGCCAGACATTAAGCCGAGGTGCCGGGACGCTGAACTCATTCCAGGCAAACAAACAAGGGACACTGCCTTTCTTTAGTCGTTTCTCCCCTCCAGTCGTCGTTACAAAATCCTCAAAAAGGAAATGACAACTGCAGACTCGAGTGCATTCAGTTGGAGTGAAGCTATCCCTGCGGATCTTGACTAGCCACTTTGATCTCACCTCAAGATCCACAGGGAAGCGATGAAAACTAATCGTTCCATTGTATTTCGACGAATTTCCACATATCGGCACACAACAGTGTAAAGACGTTCGTCTGGATTGACGCTGTAATTTAATTCGTTTTTCTTTTAGTCTTGAGAAACTCATAATTGCCGTCTAACTAAACTATCACTCTCTCGCTCTCTCTGAGAGGAGATAACGTCAACGTAACCGGAAGTTGTGCGGCCTACCGTGACAACCCGGAAATATCGAACGTTCTGTTTATGCAACAAGCCTATGAGACCAGTTGAGACAAGTGGCTTACTAGCTAACGTTAGGTTGCAAAAATCGATTTTTACTGAACACTGTTTTATGTACAGTTTGTAAGCTGTGTTAATCGTTTATAAGTTCGGGGATTATCAATAATAATATGTAAATCCTGGCTGTGCGGCCTAACGTTACTTTCATTCTGTCTAGAAAGTTCGATGCTCACGTGTCGTTCACATGGAAATTAACAACACGATGCATTAATTAAAATAGTGTAACTAACAAGCAGGTATTAGCTTATTTTGTCTTTTTATTTTGTGACAGATTCACTCAACGTTTCACCAATAACTTCAAGACTTAATGTGGAGACATTGGCTGCAGCAGATTAAAATGACGTAAGCTCATCGCAATTATGTTTCGATAGCAAAACAAATGTTGCTTTTGCTGTTGTTTTTTTGCTCTGTGTTGTGCTAGTGTCGAGCGCTATTCAATATACATTTTTATAACTTTGCAGAAATCCAACATCAATGCGGAACAAACACCCGTTCTTCATGGCCTACCACTCCTTCTCGGAGAGGACCCCACCGATTTTTACAAGACATGTTTTGTAAGTATTTTTTTCTCTGATGTGATTCTTATTTAACAGGCAAACTGTTCTTCAAACAGTTGATATCTGGCAAGAAGAGTTATGAAGGCAAGAAAAACAGTCAGGACATTGAAACAAAGTAAGGGTTAGAGAAAAGAAAGTGAAAGATACGTTTTATTTATTTGTTTGTTTCACATTTTAATGAGTATGTGCTCTTAAAGGGATAGTTCACCCAAAAATAAAAATTCTGTAATTTACTCACCCTTATGTTGTTCCAAACCTGTATGAGTTTCTTTCTTCTGTTGAACACAAAATAATATGTTTCGAAGAATGTCGGTAATGAAACAGTTTAGTTTACCCATTGACTTCCATAGTATTTTTTCTAACTATGGAAGTCAATGGCTACTCTCAACTGTCTGGTTAACAACATTCATCAAAATATCTTCTTTTCAGTTCAACAGATGAAAAAAAACTCATGCAGGTTTAGAACAACTTGAGGGTGAGTAAATTATGACAAGATTTTCATTTTTAGGTGAACTATCCCTTTAAAGCAACACTTCACCGTTTTTCCATATTAAACTGTTATTCCCTTTACTAAGACGAGTTGATACATTCCTCTCTCGTCTCAGTGCATGCACTCAATCGCTCTGGCGCGCGCAGACACTTTGTTAGCACTTAGCTTAGCCCAGTTCATTCATTAGGATTCAAACAGAGATGAAGTTAGAAGCGACCAAAAACCTCCACGTTTTCCCTATTTAAATACAGTTAGACGAGTAGTTACACGACCAAGTATGATGACACAAAATAAAACGTGGTTCTTTTCTAAGCGGGTAAAATGGATAACTAATGTATGGCGGAATAGCACTTGAGAGCACTTCAACTCAGCGCAGTAATATCATTTTTCAGGAGTGATGATATTACTGCACAGAGTCCAAGTACTATTCCGCCATACATTATAGTTATCCATTTTACCCGCTTAGAAAAGCGCCACGTTTTATTTTGTGTCACCTTACTTGGTCGTGTAACTGTATTTAAATAGGGAAAACGTGGAGGTGTTTGGTCGCTTCTAACTTCATCTCTGTTTGGATCCTAATGAATGAACTGGGCTAAGCTAAATGCTAACAAAGTGTCTCCGCGCGTCAGAGCGATTGAATGCACGCACTGAGATGAGAGAGGTATGTATCAACTCGTCTTAGTAAAGGGAATAACATAGTTTAATATGAAAAAACGGTGGGAGTGTTCCTTTAAAATATGTTTTGTGGCTTTCTTTGACCTCATTTTTGTTATATGCTATTCCCATTTTTAGGACTGATGACAATGAAGATATGTCCAACATTGAAATAGGTATTCTGACAGTGATTCCCGAGTCGTCTGCAACCGCTGCCGTACCCTACTCCCTGCATCTTGATGCGTCAACAACAGCAATCGTTCTGGAAGGTACAGTGGTTGTGGATGATCTTGAAAATCTTCCACAAGCAATGTGTTTGCTCTTTGGACTAATTTATGCTCGAAACCTGCAGCACTGAAGAGCACATTCGACTTCATACAGAGAGTGATTTTGTCCCTTGGCCACAAGTCACTCAAACCTAAAATCCAATCACTGAAAAATCGCCTGATGCAGTAATAGATCATAGCCATGATGCTTTGAGTGAATAGAGCTGTCTTTAAAGGAACACTCCGCCTTTTTTTATCATATTAAACTATGTTATTCCCTTAACTAAGACGAGTTGATACATACCTCTCTCGTCTCAGTGTGTGCACTCAATCGCTCTGGCGCGCTAGACACTTTGTTAGCACTTAGCTTAGCCCAGTTAATTCATTAGGATCCAAACAGAAAAGCGACCAAACACCTCCACGTTTTCCCTATTTAAATACAGTTACACGAGTAGTGTAACTCGACCAAGTATGGTGACACAAAATAAAACGTGGCGCTTTTCTAAGCGTGTAAAATGGATAACTATAATGTATGGCGGAATAGCACTTGAGAGCACTTCGACTTGGCGCAGTAATATCATCACTCCTGATGATGAGAGGATTTTTTAGGAGTGATGATATTACTGCACCGAGTCGAAGTGCTCTCAAGTGCTATTCAGCCATACATTATAGTTATCCATTTTACACTGGTGTAATCATCTTACACCATTCTCGGTCGTGTAACTACTCGTGTAACTGTATTTAAATAGGGAAAACGTGGAGGTGTTTGGTCGCTTCTCTGTTTGAGTCCTAATGAATGAACTGGGCTAAGCTAAGTGCTATCAAAGTGTCGCGACGCGCCAGAGCGATTGAGTGCACGCACTGAGACGAGAGAGGTAGGCCTATGTATCAACTCGTCTTAGTTAAGGGAATAACATAGTTTAATATGAAAAAACGGTGGAGTGTTCCTTTAAGAGAACTCTAAAGAAAATTGTTCAGTACTGTTTTACAGATACGTCAGTGTTTTCCAATTGTTGAAAATGAAAAAATATAAAAATATCCATATTTAACAGGATGTTTTGAATTTCAAGTTTACTTGTTTGGTTTTAGAATAGAGTTTTATAAGAAGAGAATTTTAAAGAGAACTGTAGTAGGAAAGGCATTCTGTACCAAACTCTGTGACTTAAACGCTCTGCTTTCAACCACTGTTGAAACATTGTAAAGATGTTAAAAACAAAGAAACATTGATGTCTTTATTGTCTTTAGTTTTTTTTGTTTTTTCTTGAGTGCATTGTGCTTTATTTCTAAAATGTTGTTGGCGGGCCAGTAATGTTTTAACATTATTATTGTTGAACAAATAAACATTCTAGTGTTTTGCCAAATGTGTTGTCTGTCTTTGTATTTTCAACTTAGAATTTTGAGTACAACTTGCTTGAGAAATTTAAGGCAATCAGTTTCCACACATTCCTCTAGTAAAATGAACAAGCAGACATGTTAAATTAACTGTTTTGTTTAAGTTCTGCTTACAAATCTCAACTTAAATCTGTAAGTTGCCTAAACTTGAGTTTATTAATTTACCTGTACTCAAGTTTTATGGTAACCTCTACAAATACACAAGTTAACTCTACAAAGAAGTAGACAGTAGTATCAAGTCAAAACTTATGACCTAATTTGCTTGAAAAATTTGAGGCAATCAGTTTTCACAGCTTTTCTTAGTAAAGTCAACTTATTACTTTTTACAGTGTAGAAAACATGCACATTGTGGCATGGTTTCCTTTGCTGCTCATATGAATACTAAGGAGACCATGGTTTCTGTGTGAACTGATTATTTTGTAGACATAGATAAAATTAATTAACCTTTTTAATAAATTTTTTAAAAAGTCAGAGTTGTGTTAATATATATACTTTTTTGTTTAAAAAAAAGTTAAAGTGCCCTTTTTTTCACTTGAGCCCCTGCCCCTCAAAATGTCTGTGCACGTCCCTGCTGTGGAGTAACAAATAGGCCTATGTATTGTGTTTTGCAAATATAAATAAATGAGCCTAGATATCTCACAAATAAATACAAACCATCCTACAAATTGCATGTAACCTTTGAACAAATACCAAATCTAGTGCATGCAAATGCATATGTCTGTTATTATGATTGTGGCTTTTATGAGATCTCTCAGCTCAATTTTCTCACAAATGCGTCCAGGCAGATTTTCTCACAAATGCAGTTGAGCAACTTCCTTTTCCAAAACAGTAGATGGTGCTAAGATAGGGGATTAATTTAGCGCTAGTCTCTCAGGAGAAGCACTGGTTTAAAACGCGCTTGCCTTTGCCTACAGCTGAGGAAAATGAGCGTGCTTGCTTTCTATGACTGTAAAGTATTTTAGCTGGTGACCTGTATATACTGCAGATCTTATATTTCATGTACGACAGCGATACAGTTTTGCTCAACTGTTATGCTGTTTCGGAGTTGTTGTCGATTAGCTCCATCTGTTTCTGCGCTTAAATTAAGTTTGTCATTATTTCGTCGCACATTACCCAGTAAGCATTACTAGACCAGCTGCAGCTTATTTTCGGCATCTAAAAAGCCCCCCTGTTAATTCCCAGAGCGTGGCGTAAACAGGCAGCAACTTAAAACCTGATGTCACTGCGGTGATACCTATAAATCAGGGTCCTAAATGACGGCTAGGTGTCCGCTTTCAGTCAGGCTGAGGCAGGACGCTTCCCTCTCTCCATATGGATGAAGAGCAGTTTTAGTTGTTTAGCGAACAAGAAAAGGGGAAGTTTGGAAAGTGTGTGAACAGACAAGCGCACGAGGTCTCATGCTATTACACAAACAAGCTCCATATCTGTTTACAGCCGACCTTGGAAATGTTGACCAACTCAATAAAATGTAACCTTGTCCTCATTCAGATCTAAGCGCTTCCAGGGCTCCAGACTAACATTTGAGACCAGCACTAAGTTCAGTTCTACAGATGGTGGTGCTAGCACCTCATTTGTTAGCGCTTTATTGGGATTTTTAATCATAAAGGTATTTTAATAAATTGTTTTGCATTAATTATAAGTGCAGTTACTAATAATATTGCGTTTATTTCTTGGAAATGCACATTTGACAGTAAAGCATTAAGCTTGAGTTAAAGGTGCAGTATGTAAGAATGACAACTAGTGGTCGAAATAGGAACTGCAGTCGAATTCAAAATATCGGAGATGGTCATTTCTCCCGCCACTTGCTCCTCAGACTGGACGCTCACACGGGTTGCCAGTTTGAGCACACGCAACAGGAACGAGCGCAATGGACAATAAAAATTGGATTGAATATATCACAGACCAAAACAATAACAAACATTCCAGCCTGGAAATGCCCATTTCAAAGTAAAATAACTGGCTGTAGAAGTGTTTTTCAGATAAACGAGTGTGAACTTAGCATGTTTCCTCAATATATGCAAACATATGGTATTTTTATGCCTTAGTAGAGTGAAAAAGTTACATAAAGCACCTTTAAGATGCCGATAAAATGAACATCATGTTTTATTAAAGGGGTCATATAATGGTACATGCACTTTTTCAAGTTGATTGTAATTATAATAATAATTCATTACATTTATATAGCGCTTTTTCTAGGCACTCAAAGCGCTTCACATGGAAGGGGGAATCTCCTCAACCACCACCAATGTGCAGCATCCACTTGGATGGTGCGACGGCAGCCATAGTGCGCCAGAACGCCCACCACACACCAGCTTACTGGTGGAGAGGAGACAGAGTGATGAAGCCAATCAGTGTATATATATATATGGGGATTATTAGGAGGCCATGATGGACAGAGGCCACTGGGCAAATTTGGCCAGGATGCCGGGGTTACACCCCTACTCTTTCGAAAGACATCCTGGGATTTTTAATGACCACAGAGAGTCAGGACCTCGGTTTAACGTCTCATCCGAAGGACGGTGCTGAAATGTGCTGATTGTACTGAAATGTGTGTTGGCAGTGCCTGTCAGGGCCGTCGCTAGTGGGGTGAAAGTCGGTGACAATTATAGGGGCCCCCGCTGCCCAGGGGGCCCCACAAAATCCAGCAGTTATACTATTTAGGCCCCTGTTGTATGAATAATTCTAATATTTATATTAGTTGTATGCCTGAGATTTAAATGAAAACCACAAAAACGTGGAATTTGGGTAAATATTTTTCCAAATATCTGCTTCTCTTACCTCCATAAAAATGGTTTAGTCCGACCTAAAGTATTTATTAATTATTCAGTCAGAGTCAGTGACAAGATGGACCCAATAAAAGTGTAAGTCCCGCCCCAGCTCGTGAACAGAACCAATCAGAGTTGAGGCGGCAGCCTGAAGTTAACGATGAACTTGGTGGAAGAGCAGGAGACTGACTGACTGAAAAATGTCGGGGAAAAGAAAACAGAAATCAGGTACCAGAAATGCCAGGAAAAGACGGAGAGAGAGGCAAGGAGAGTGGTTGTATCCCAGTCGATCAAGACGTTCTTAAAGACCGGTTATGTATTGTTATTTCGCTGGGAATTAGAAAACTTTCGTCTACAGTCTGCCGTGTACAGTCATTTTTTTATTATCGGTGCGCGCCACAATAGACCGAATGATTACGTGGTCTAAATTCCTGTCTTTTTACACTATTGTAAATAGAGTTTTAAAAAAATTACACGAGTCACGACGCATTGCATTATGCATCTGACCTGCCGGCTGATGATATTTAAAACATCGAGAAAACACGAATTCAACACACTGCACTTGGATGAATAAATGTATTCGCTTTATTTAATAATATTACCAGTTCCATATTATCTTTATTAAAAAATAAGGCAATATGGTTTTATTTTTTTAATTAGACTGCATTCTTGTCAATTTCTAAATGTTTACTTTTTGATTTATGAATTATAACAGACTGATGGGGGAAAAAAATATTACTTTTTAAAAATTGGTTTTATTATTATTTAACAATTTCTTGCTTTTTGTTAGTTTTTATTAGTTGTAATTTTTATATAAACATTTAACTTTTAAAATTAAGGTTTCAC